ATTCCATCAACAGATGGAAATTGTGCCTGGCTCCAGAGCTGGCTGGAAGAAATATGTTCTACCCCTGTCAATAGGGTACTGTTGTCTGATACCTTAATGTATGCTGCGGTAACTGAGGGCCCACTTCTGTACCCTCTCCGTTTCTGGCTACACACATGTCTGATAGAGAGCTAATTCATCACTGGGTCATCCCTAAAACCAGTAGGATTTACCAGGAATGGCTTGAGTTTGATGAGTTGTAGTGTGCTCTTCCATGGTAAGCAAAAGGCTTCATTTGGTGCAGAGCTGAAAGTTTTAAAAAGTGAACTTTTTCTGGGATCCTGATGATTAGGGAGGTGAATGGGCTCTCACTGTGCAAAAATGAGATTCTTTAGTCACGTTACCTGTCCTCTGTGTCTGTGTTTCTAGCCCTGTTTTCTTGGCTACTTCCCTGTAGCTCTTATCTTCCCATGAGACCTGTCAGGAGTTTGTTTTCGTGGGTGTATTACTGCGGTAGCTAGGAGCCCTAGTGAACACCAGAACTGTGTGTTTTACGCTGTCCAGCCAGCGCAAAGACCACCCTGAGTGAGTAGAACCCGCGAGGCAGGGGAAAAAGTTGCATATGTGTAACTGAAGTGTGGGCACCGGCCTAAATTACAGTGAACTAAAGCAGTGTGAAACTTAGCTGCCTTGTGATAATTGTTGTTATGCTTTCACCCTCATGGTAGCATGCAAAGCAGCTCGTTTTATCTAGTAGGCAATGCACGTAAAAGCGTACAGCTAGATAGCTACAGCAGAGCAGCCCTGCAATGATGATGTTTTTAATCCTTGGTCACCCAGTAGTAACTTGCCTACAACTTTGGGAAGTCAGAAACTGTCAGTAGATACTCTCCCAGTGCTGAAAGGCAGTGTACTAGCTCACGCTGATGTTGCTTGAACAGATTTAGCTACTACAGAAAACTGGGGGGATGTGCATTGTTTGCATTTTTAACTTTTGCAGTGATACCTGGTAGATGCTGAAGTGATTTAGCTCTGAATATAATACATTTGAGATTTCTGCACCTGTTTATCCCAGTGTGGGTTTTTTGATTTGTTTGTTGTTGTTGTGCTTTAACCTTGTGGTCTAATCAGACAGGTGTGAAGTTAGTGGTTCCTTTAGAGACCTGTGTTGACTGACATCAAAGGACTGCTTGAATTGTTATTGATAGTAAGGTACACATGCAGAAACAAATAAGGTAACAAGTTGTAAGTTCAGGTGCACAGTGAAAATGTCACTCTTCAGCCTGATGTCAGCAGTTGCTGCTTACAGCTTTTTTAGCACCAGAAGTGCCCTATGGAGCCAATCTGACAGAGAAACCTGGGTAACATGAGCTTTCATTTCCTTTCATAACTGCACAGTGTAATCACTACTTTTGTTCTTGTGCAGCCAGAGATTTCTTCCTAGCTCAAATTCAAATGGGAGGAACATCAAAGTTAATTTGAAACAAAATGCACCCCAAGTAGTCTGGGGGAAATAGAGGCATCACTTTGTATCCACCCTTCTCATGCCAAACCTGGAACAGGGTAGATGTCAGGAAGCCATGCTGGGTTCTTTGTATCCCCTGGGTTGAATAGATTGTTTTCATCTCAGCCTTTTTAAAGTTTTCCTCCTGTCTCAGTATTTTTAAGGAACAGAAAACTAATATAAGGACATGGAGTGTTATGAAGCATGAAGTTCTATAAATATTTATGCAGAACTATCAAAAAAAACTTGACAGTTCTTATTTTCTTGACATATTGGGGTCATTTGTTATTTTTGACCCTGAGAATTGAAGAGCACATGGAGTTGTATCTGCTTTGTAATGACTCTGGGATATTGTTGTCTGGTAAACTCGTAAGAATGTAACAGGATAACAGACTTTTATTTCCTTACTCTCTTTGTGAATGTGGAACTTAAACTTTGTGCTATGTTATGGACAAATAATCTTTCAGGTTTCCAGGAGCGCTTAGGTATCTTTAAAGTGAGTGGCAGTGAGTTTCTAAATTTAAACTGTCTGTGGCACATGTGACTTTATGAGTTAGCAGCTTAGTTTGCCCCTTCAGGCATAGAGATTTCACCTAGCTTACTCTTGATTTTTGAGTATTCAGCAATTAACCTTTACTTCTAGAAACCAAATTCAGCACAATATGTGCCTGAGCCTGGCATAGTGGGAAACTGAAGAAGGCTAAAAACGTGCCAGATCTGTGGTGTTTCCTGTGTTTTGCCACCAGTCCCAACATCATTTTAAGTAGCCCTGGGACTGACTGAAGACAAGCAGCTTCTCTTAATGACTGTTTACCAGGCCTTAAATGTTTTTCTAGAGAGGTGAAAGGCTTGTAACTCTCCCACATGTCAGTGTCCTCGGTCCTTAAAGCTGTGCACATGACCTTAACTCTGATCTCAAATTGTAGTGACAGGTGAACATTTTAAAACCAATCTAACTTTTTCTGAAAAGCTGGAGTGCGTTTCTGTGGCACCTGGCAGCAAGCACCTTTCTTGCATAGTAAATACGTTGAATAGAAAAGAGTCAAACTGATTCTTCCTCTTCAGTTGAAATCTGGTGTGGGTTTAAAGGGAGACCTCGAATATTTTATGTGCACTGACTGGAATATCTCTTGGTGTTGGTCACTAGAGGGCACACTGGAACCAGCTAGTAAATACGTTTGTTGGTCTCTTAAGTCCTGGCTCTACTTTTTAGATCTATGTAGTTGGGGGAAAATTCCTGTGGCTACCAAAAGGAAGAATGGCTTCAAAATTCTGATTTCATCAGGGTTTTCATCACCCAAATCAGTTTCTGTTTTGGAAGATAAAACCGAAGCGTTAATTGCAAGGCTACTTCCTTTCTTCTGTTAGTATAACCTTGGGTTCAGTCTAAGAGCAAGTGTTTAAGCTTTAAGATCAACTTATAAGTACACAAATTGTTTCCTGGTTTCTCAGATTTCTGTGCTTGTAATGATCTCCTAGTCTGTTAATTATACGACGAGTAAGGAAACAAAGGGAATTGCTCTCTGCATGTGTGGTTCTTTTGCAGGTTGCATGCCTCATACGGGTTCCATCTGAAGTCATCAAGCAAAGGGCCCAAGTTTCTCCTTCCTCTAGTACCTTTCGTATTCTCTCCCACACCTTATATCATGAGGTAAGTTCAGAGCAAAATTTCCAATAAGTTACTTCATTTGTCACACCCACTGCCATACATGTCCAGAAGTATTCCTACAACTTAATTCTGATTCCAGCACTTTTCTAACGGTTCTTCTGTTGCTGAGAGCAGCTAACACATGTTATGTTTAAGGAAGCCTAGCCTTCCCCCCTCCGCCCAACAACTCTTATTCCTCTTATTACTTGGGACACTTGCATTTAAAATTCAGGAATTTGAAAATTTCCAGTTTCTAAAACTCTACTCAGATTTATGCAGACAGCGCTTGTCTGGAACAACAGGACATTGCGTCCCTATATCCTGAACTTGCTGAATGGTTTCCAGTTTTTGAAGCGTGCTTTAGGGGGACATCGTAAGGACATTGTTTCAGAGAGGCTCTGTGGCAGCTCTGGAAATGAGTACTCTTCCACTGTCAGTAAGTTTTGAAAAATAAAGGCTTTTGTCATCTTTTCAATAGTTATACTGTTCCTTCCTGGAGAACCTGTTTGCCACTGTTTTTACTGTGTCTCACAAGGGGTGTTTTTCAAGTTGTATTCCATAAAAGAGGAATTGGCTCCAGAAAGCACTGGGGAAAAGTATTATACAAATTTCCATGTGCAAAAACCATCAAAAAGGAAGAAATAAATACGATTCTTCAATGGCTAGCTTGATTTTGTTTTATTTACTTATAAATGAAAACTATTGTGATAACTCTGCCCAAGAGGGTCCCTTTTAATTTTAACTGTAAGGTATATTTTCTTCTCAACGTGACTCCATAATTGATTATTCTGAACAGTGGTTAAATGGTCTTTGAAATGAAGATAAAACCCTCTGGTTTATATATAGTGTTATGATCGATATAGTCAATTTGTTAAAAGTTCAGGTCTAACTCTCAGTAAGGCTGTAATGCTTGACTTCTGATCACCAGTAAATTGCGGTCTTTGGCAAACTAATTCCCTATAGCTGATGCTTTCTTTTGTTGGTTTACAGGGTATTCAAGGACTTTATCGGGGATATAAAAGCACAGTATTAAGAGAGGTAAAACACTTCCTGTCTCTTTTGAAGTTAATTCATTTTATTTTACCTTATTTGTGTTTTCTAACAAGATACAGAAGTGATACTGTTGAGATCAATTGCTGTAACCACATGCTTTAAATATTAACATATTTCATTCTGGGTGTAAGTTACTAGCCTTCAATTTAAATAGGATACTGATAATGTGCATGTAAAAAAAAAAACTATGGTACATGCAAAAAGTCATCTACTTTACTTTCTCTCAGTTCTGTTGCTGCTAAGTCTTGAGAGGATGGAAATGTATATACAAAAGTGCTGGAAATTTGCTCAAGTCTTGTGATTGTATCACATGAGGTGTGTATTCTAACAATGGTGAACCACTGGTATCATGCCAAGTTTGGCATAGACACATTTAGGCTTTCTTTAAATATATTTATCAGCAGATGCCAAGAAATTATCTGTCATCTGTATATAGGGAGGATTATGCTTTATATATTTATTTATTTTTTAGTGTGAAAGAAATGCATTTAGTTATCCAGTCTGTGGATGGTGGATGTGGTATGGCATTACTTAACCTAAATCAGAAGTACCTTACTGTTGGAAAGAACTGGAGTTTTGGCCTGCATGGCAGAAAATAGTTTCTAAACTAAAAGCTCTTCATAAACATACTGTGAATTTCAGGATTAGTGTCATGGAAATGTTGGTATTGAGTGTGTACTGAAGACAGATTATAAAAAGAGTGGAAAACACTTCTGTCAGGTTTTGTGTGACCCTGGCTTGTTCCCACTGAGTTTTGCAGGTAAGCAGAGGGTCTGATCATGTTATTGTAAGGTGTTATGGTACCCTCTTCGATATAGTTGTGGATTTAGCCTTTGCTTATCATTGGTGCTCTTCTAAAGCAAATGGGACTGTAGCAACTGAGGTCAGCCCAAGGGAATCTTGAGGCAAGCCAACAGCCTTGGCATCTCTGACTTTTAGATCTTTAATACGACATCTGCGCAGCTTCTTGAATTCTTGCTTCGCATATTGGGTTTCTTCTGTGGCTTCCTTGAAATTTCAAACTTTTGGATTCTATTTAAATATAAAACCTTTCCTAACATTAATGCTCTTGTAAAAATGTATTTAATCTTCTCTGAACTATTTCAGATTAGCCAGGGCATGAAAAGATTTCTTTTCTCCTTTAACATATGCTGATTAAACTCCCAATCCAAAATTTTGCTTTGGAATTAAACCCCAGGGGCTGTCATTTGACAAAGCAGAAGTTGTATCGTGAGTACTTCAAATAAAGGGACGAGGCTTGATTCCTGTGAAAACATATCAGCTATTGTTTGGAAAAGGCACTTTACTTCCTGCACTCGATGTGACGTGCATGGTTTTGTTCCCTTCTTATATAACGCAACTGAGTAAATTAGGTTTGGATCTTTGCCTTTTTTTTTTTTTTTTTAAACATATGATCGGATCTGTTGACTGTGTTGCAATTGATAATAATGTTAGTTGCAGAGGCTTTTTAAGCCCTTCATTCAACAGTTATTTACTTTTTAAAAGCCTTTCTTCACACTGAAAACTTTTTAGGACAGTTGTGTTAGCCAGCTCTTGTCACAGTACAGGATAAAGATGGATATTACCTAAAATAAGAAATCTCAAATTTAGTGTTACTTTAAAATGCTGATAAATGACAGTGCACTAGAGTTTACTTTAGAGGCTCTGAATGTTTCAGAAATTAGTTATTTGTGCGGAGATGACACCTGCTTTTTCTGAAGCATAACCCCCACCATAGCTTCATCCTATACTTATTTTCTGGCTCACTAAACATGTTATTCACTCAGATTTCATTTGGAGACAGGCAAAAAAAAGGCCAACAAGTCATTTTGATTTCTCTGAGGGGTTCTGAATAAATGAATAAATTTAGATGCCATTGAATACAGATTTTGCATACTAACAGATAGCTAAAACACATGGTTACAAGTGGGTGCTATTCTCCTTAATATTTGTTTTGACATATGTCAGGATGGTAATTAATTTACAGATCAGATTCATAGCACAGTGTGTGACCCAGCTGAGATAACTTTGTTTACTCAAAATGGCAGCACTTTGTTGGAAATTTAATTGGGGTTCTCTCCATTATGTATATTCATAAAAGATCCTTCAGAACTGATTTCAGTTGAAGTATTGCTTTTTGGGAGAATCTGTCCAATAGAATGAGAAATAAATGATTACCAAATGAAATGTGCTTTCTCTTCAAAATGAAACAAATCATAGTTGATGTTAAATTCACAAAGTGGGCTTTTTTTTATCACCATGTTAAGACTGTTGCATTTTCTGACACTGCGTACAGCAAGAATCCATTTGAGTAAGAACAGCATATTGAACCTCCAGCTGGAACTGTTGTAGGCCTAACATTTGATCTTGATATTTTTCCCTCTCTTTAAATGCACTACTTCTTGTAGGAAAAATCTTTATTTTCAGATAAAAATCTGTACTAGTTCATTATTGGACACATCCAGGTAGCTGTGTAGCATAGGTAGTCTGGTACTTAATTCAAACTGAATTTTGTGGTATTAGAGTTTGTTTGCATGCTTTGATTCTTTGCTTACACTAAATAATTTGTTTATATACAGTAGAGGATTTTTGGTTAGAGGGGCTTCAATGCATAATTATTATTATCTTTTTTTTTTAAGGGAGGGGGATTATTGAAAAAGGAAGTGAATAGGGTTCCTTTTAGGAGGTGATATTCTTGCACTAATGAAATCTTAAGCCAGACCTCAAGAAAAATTAATTCTAGCTGTTGTTTAAAAATATGCTTTGCACAATATGCAAAATTTTATCTCAATGCCTGAACGTAGCTGTGCTTGCCAAGTGCTTGGACTCATGCGAAAATGAGTCTAATTGTTTATAAAGGGAACGAGATCTTGAAGTCTCTTCTCGATCTCCTTTTTACCTTAGCATAATAGATCTTTTCAAGGCAACCTTATTCTGCTCTATTTAATTTGCACTAGACACATTGTTGCGAGGGAGTTGTTTAACCCTTCATTTTTGTTGTTTGGTTTTTTTTGTTCTTTCACTTAGCTTCCTTATTTTCTCATCAATATACTTCCTGTAAAGACTAATATTAGGAGAGGAAGAAGGTGGCTGAATATGTACTGCTCTTGGAAATATCTCTGAGTGAACCTCAGTGGAGAGAGAAAAAGTCAATGCTTAGAAGTCTTGGCTATGACTTTTCCTCCCACCTCCTTTATGGTGCCTCCTCCCTTACAGTCTGCATTGCCTGTTGGTCTTTACATCTTCCTTTGACATTAGTTTTCAGCATTAGTTCAGAGTAGCTAAAGGGAGGCAAGGAACTGTGCATCATCCTATTGGTGGTAGCAGCTTGAAAGAGACATCTGTGTTCCAAGAACAAGCTTTGTGATAAAGCAAAAAATAAGAGTCTGGTTCTGAGGTTGCTGAATGAGACTTTGAATAAATGGCAGAAATCGGAGGCTGTGAAAAGATGTGGAATTCCCATGATGTCATTTCCAGAGTGAATCCAAGTGAGAATTGTCCTTTCCTGTGATAGTAGCGCACCAGTGCACACCAGTGTGGAAACTTGGTCATGCTATTTAGAGCAGGCGGTGGACAGGTAGAACTAGTCATGTTTTCCACAAGACAGAGGTGTGTGTTTGTAAAATCTCCAGCCATCTTATAACAGGGCAGGAGTAGACTGTAAATCCACTGCAAATCCTCTAGAATTTCTTAATGGGAATGTAGTTCTTCTGCTGAGACCTTATATAAGCAAACAGAGCCAGATTTTTAATTCCTGCATAATTCATTTTATTAACTATGACCAAGTAGAACATCTGTTAAAATTCCATAATGTTAAGTTCATGGGAAAAAGAGAGAAGCTCCTGAGTTCTCTTTGGAATTCTTCCATTTCCATTAACATTACAGGACTCTAACAGATGTCTTAAAGGACATTATTATTAATGAGGAGACAACCCAGAAGAAAATGAAATGCCTTGTCCGCTTCCACAGAGTACAATAGCTTGCTGTATAGTGAGTTATTTTACTCTCTGCATGTCTGTATGCAGGTTTCAGCTCCGCAGAAGCAGTGCCACAGTTAGCTGCAGTGTCCCTTCTGTTGTGAGTTACTGTAGAAGTGTTTGGAAGAAGTGGAGTGCCGAGTGGGTGTTTTGTGTGTTTTTAATCTAATTTGTCACTTCTAAAAATATTGCAGAGGGACTGGGCCTGAGCCCAGAAGTAGGTTGAAAAGGGTAACTAAAATGAATATTAAACTCTTCCCTTAAAGAAGGCTGTCAGCTCTGTATGGTTTGCAGGTGACTTGAAAGGAGATTGAGAATTGCTTTCAAATCTGAGCCCTTGCTATACAGGTAGCCCTGAGTAAGCTGATCCTTTGTACTACCCTGTAGATTTTTCTGAGGAAATTGAAGCTCTTTGCTTCTAATGGCCTTCATTCAGATAGTTGTAGCAATGATGCATTACTTGTAGTGATGTTTCGGAGCCTGTTGCAGGATTGGAAAGAAAACTGTTGATAAATCTGAACCCACTCTTGCACAGTGTGCTCCTATCTTTACTTTCAGTGAGCTAGCCTAGCCAAGACTCAAAAGGTATGTATTTAAAGTAACTGAGAGATCTGGCAAACAAGTCTCAAGTAAGTCTCTCTGTGCTGAGTCTGCAAAGGGGTGTCCTGAGGCACCCAGTAGACCCCCTGGGCTAGAACTTGCCAGTCCTGCGCCGGGGATGGGGAAAAGGAACAGATTTCCACACCTCAGTTTCTCTAATTCACATCTTGACGTTTTAATCAAATCACTAACAGTGCCTTCTGGTAGTGCTGCCCTGGGAGTAGTCTGTTTTAGCATGGTAGACTTCTGGGGGTCCCAGCACTTTAAATTAGTACTGCTGGTTTTTTGCAGTGTATGCAAGTCAGAGCCATAAGTAGACAAAGTCAGCCACTGCTCTCTTCAGAAGAGAGCCCTCTGCTATATTTGTTTTGGGGTAGAGGAGAACAACTAGTTAAGAGTATGTTGTTG